TCCCCCGCGTGCGCCGCTGGTACTTGGGCGGGGGGCCAGTCACGGCCGCGCCGCAGCCGGGACCAGCCCCTGGGGACATGGTGGCCCTGGGAAGTCCCCTTCGGTGTCCCCTCGTGGCACCTTCCCGGCCACCCCCCGGTGAAGCACGAGGAGCTTCAGAGCAGGAGCCGCTTCCAGGGCGACGGGGCTGAGGAAGGGGGCTGTGTCCCCCGGCTCAGAGGACTTTGGGGACATGGAGGGACCCTCAGCCACAGCGCCTGGAGACAAGGGCTGGAAGCCAGAGCCCGGCCCCGGCATCAGCTGAATTCAGCCCCGGCGTCACCGTGCAATGGGCCAGGAGCCAAATTCGGCCCCGGCCCCCCAGCCTCACCTGCTCATTTGCCTCCAGGGGGAATCTCTCGATCACGGTGTACTGCAGCTCCAGCGGAGCATCCTCGCTGGAGGGGGAGGCGAGGGTGGCTACGGAGAGAGGAGCAGGCGGGGGTGAGCCAAGGGGTGCCGGGATGCGGGCAAGGGGGGGATGCAGCCGCCCTGGTCCAGGCAGGACGGGCAGGGGCGGGCAGGCAAAGCCATGGCGAAGGAAAAAGCCAGTTCCCTCTTTTCCAGCTCTGTTTGCCCAGCGATCCCGGCTGCGGGGACGCAGCCTTGACCTGGCAGCGCCCACCTCCCTCAGCTTCTTTCTTCCTCCTCGTCTTCCTCTGCAGCCAGACAATGCCGAGCAGGGCTACCGCGCAGACGGCCAGCAGCACCAGGCACAAGTGCCACCTCCACCGGCCATGTGTCTCTGCGGGAACAAGCCGTGGTGGATGCCAGGACCCCCCCGGGCGGGTGGGACCGGGTGCCCGGGGCAGTTTTTTACCCTGCTGCCGACACAGGGTGTCCAGGTGGATGGAGACGCTCCGCTCCTCGATGGGATTTCGGGCCACGCAGGTGTAGCTGGAGTTGAAGGCGCTGGCGGGCACGGCCAAGTGCAGCGTCTGGTTGTCCTCGCTGAGGTGTCCGCACGGTGTCCCGAGGGAGCTGTCGAGCTGCCAGGCGGCCACGGTGGTGTTGCTGGCCAGCACCCAGCACCGCAGGGTGACGTTGCACGCTTGGGCGGTGAAGGAGAGCAACTGGTGCTGGATCTCCGGTGCTGGCACCGGCGCTGTTTAAGATGCAAACAGACCCCGTCACAGGACCCAGCCTGTCCGGGGACACCCTGAGGACACCCCGAGGACACCCCGGGTCACCCAGGGAGGGCAAAGCGGTGCTGGAGGGGCAGCGAGAGGGCGTGGGAAGGGGAAGCGCAGGTGGGGGTGGATCGTGGTTAGTTATAAATTCAGGAAAATCCCCGTGACAGATGCTCAGCAGCAAGAGCAATTTCTCTTCCCCTTTCCTGAGTGCTAACAACTCCGGATACAGGCGGGTTTTATTGCCTCTCCCGTGCACTGGTCCTGCCAGGGCTGTAAACCCGTCTCCAGCACCTGCCGTTTTGGAGCCGCTCACCGTAGACGGAGAGGCTGAAGGACTGATCCTCCACCAGCGCCGGCTCCAGCTTAATCCGAGCCCCGTAGACCCCGCTGTCGCCCTGCTCCAGGGCCCTGATCTTCAGCGCCGTCTCGTTGAACCTCTCCAGCCGGTCCTTGAACAGGTGCCGGCGCCGGCTGAAAAGCTCCATTCGATCTCCTTCACCATCTCGTTGGGGGGCAGAGCCGGGGAGAGCAGCACGGACCCCCCCAGGACGCCGTTCACCTGCCGGGGCTGGGCGGCCGCAGCGCCTGGCCAGGACAGGGACAGTCTGGAGGATGGAGACCCCCAGCAGAGCCCCCCGTTCCTGCCCACAGCCCCCACCCGGGGTACCCGTGGGCATCTGCCCGCCCGTGCCTTAGTCACGGGAGCACGGCTCCCCTTAGGCACGGGAGCACGGGAGCACGGGAGCACGGCCTGAGATGATTCATTTAATCCCACAGCCATCACCTCCCCTGCCAGCACCCCTGGGTACCGTGCGTGGGGCTGGGCATCCCCTGGGGCCGGGGGGACGCTGGGCACTCGCGGTGCCTTCCCAGCATCGTCCCGTGTTGTCCCAGTGTCACCCTGTGTCACCCTACACTGCAGACGGGCCATCCCCACGACAGGGACCAGCCAGGGCTTCACGGAGAGGACGGGGATGCTCTCCCCACCCCGCCTGCGCCCGAGTGGGGCACAAACCGGGGCAGATTTGAGGTTAAACCTTTGGGAAACCTCCCACAGGTCCCGGTGGGGACAGGGTCCCTCCATCCAGGGCTGTGGGGCAGCTCAGCGCTGAGCTTTTGGGGTGCAGCCCCCTTATCCCTGCGGTGAGAGCGAGATGCTCCCAGCAGCAGAGCTGCCCACGCCACAGGACGTGGCTTCGAGATGCCGAATGCTGCAAGAAGTGGACGCAGCCTCCCCCAGGTGGGGGACGGACGGACGGACAGGTGGCCACATCCCCAGACCGCAGGGCCCATCCTGTGCACCGGCTCGCAGGCTGCTCGCTTCCTGCGTGCTTCGGGGCCGGCTCCGACCTCTCCCCACCGCTCTCTGCAGCCGCTTTGGTTTGCAAAGAGGAAGGCGAGGCAAGCGGAACGGGGAGCGAGACCGCGGCACCGCCATGTCCCAGCCGTCCCCCAGCACCCAGCTGGGCAGCACCCAGCCCCTCCCCACTCACTGCACCCATCCAGCATTTTCCAGGTGCTCCCGACACCTGCAGGATGCAAAACTCCCCCCCCCCCCCCCCCCCCGAGGAAACCAGTCCGTGGCGGTGATGCTGCGGCATGGCCGGAGCAGCCTTGGACCAAGCCTCCCCTCGGCCTCCCTCTTCCTCCTCACGGAAAGACACAGGCAAAGAAAGAGTGGAGATGGCCCCTCCTTGCCTTCCTCCGTAACTCACCAAAATTAATTTTCCCTTTTCCTATCGCCGGCTGGCCCAGCCGAGCGCGGCCAGCAGCAGCCACCGAGCAGAAGAAGGGGCAAACAGCCCCAGGCGCTGGCCGCGGGGTCCCAGCCCCGCCGGGGACCGTAAACCTCTCGGGAGTTGATTTATGCCGGCAATAAAGCGAGGAGGGGAGGCCAAGCAACGCCCCGCATCGTTTCCCCCATCGGCTGCAAGCAAGTGGCCCCGGCTTGCCCCGGCTCGCCCCCCCGGGAACCGCCGGTGCCCCGGTGCCTTGGCCCCGGCCCCTTGGCACAGGGAAATCCTGTTCTCACCCCTAATATTTCACGTATTTTCTAAACCCCCAGGGCAAGCGTTCATTTTGCAACTGGGACCCAAAGCCGTGCTCCCCAGCTCTCTCCCAGCACTGCCCAGTTGCTAATAAACGGGGTCGCTAATAAATGGGGGTGGCTAATAAATGGGGGTGGCTAATAAATGGGGATCGCAAGCGTTGGAATAGCCACGGTCCCCTTCCAGCACGGTGGCTGCCCTCCCCTCCTGCCTACCTGCCACCATGAGAAGCGGGACCAGCAGCCAGGGGACGCGGGGACGTGGGCGGCTGGGTGACATCCCCATCACTTCAACGCTGCGTCTCGAAGCCTTGATCTCAGTTCTGCGTACCAGCTTGGTGGGAGTGAACATGCAAATCTACCCACACACTGCAACACACCTTAGCAGGGGAGTGGCGACGCAAGGACATCATGGGGACACCGCGGGGACCTCGCCGAGCCCCAGCTGGTGTGGCCCAGCCATGGGTTGCCGTCGGTGGGATCTCGCCCTCCTGCCGCACCAAGGGCTCGGCGCCAGCCCCCAAGGCGCTCCCCGTCGCCCAGGCCTTGTTTTCCCCCTGGGAACCAGGTGCAATAAATAAAGGAAGGAGCTGGATGCTGCCTGCTGCTGCCTGCTGTTGGGTAAATAATACCAGCTGGACTGGCTGCCTGCATGGAGCCCAGCACACCCGGGACAAGGAGGAGCCCTTGGTCCCACCGCAGAGCCAAGCTGGGCTGGCTGCTCCTCCCAAGGAGGGTTTGCCTGGCTTTAAACCAAGGGGAGAAGGTCCTTGTTGGCTTGGAAATGTCGTGGTTGGGCTCCCAGCGCCCGGGCTGCTCCTGTCCCCTGCCCCGGGGATGTCCCGTGCCCTGCCTCGAGGCTGCGTTTCCCGCTGGGGACTCGGCCGGTTTCTCCCCATGAGCGGCAAAGTCTTTGCTTGAGAAGCTTTCGTTGAACCAGAACGCCCACAGCAGCAGCAGGAGACACGTAAAAGAGAAGCGGGGCTCTGGGGACAGCCCAGCCCTGTCCCCACGGCGGTTGTCATCCCTCGGGGCTCCCGCCGTGTCCTGGCTGCGATGGAGAGTCCGCCTGCGAGAGCCCCCCGGGTTTCGGGGGGATGTGGGGGGCCGGGCCGGCCCCAGGCAGCACAGGGACCACAAGCAGAGGCCACGTCGCCGCCGCCTTTCTGAAAAGGGAAGCGAGAGGCGGCTGCGTCCTCGCCCCGCGCACCGGGCTGGGGTTTCTCGGGGTGCAGCCCTGAACCGGGGCAGTTTGCACGGCCCCGGGATGCTTTTACGGCAACGGCTCCGCGTGGGGATGCACAGAGAGAAACAGGCATGCGTGTGTGCACATACATGCATGCATGTGCGTGCCCACTGCGCTGCCAGCTCTCCCCTGTGATCTCACCAACATTTATTTGCTGTTTTTACAACGGCGGGAGGTCCGGCCGAGCGAGGGGCCCCGTGGCAGTAGGTGCTGGACACACAGGCAGTGAGACACCCCCTCCGTCGCGACGGTGCACGGGCTACACGGGCAACAGCTATGGCGGGGGGGGGGAAGCGGGGTGCTTCGCGGTGGATCTGCACAGGCGACGGTCCCTTCTGCATCCCTCCGTGGCCCCGGAGATGCCACCTGGGTCCGCTCCGGTGGAGCCGCATGGGACGGGGCTGGGGGGACGCCCCGGTGTCCCCCCGCTCCGTGCCTCTGTGGCAGCAGCGAAGTGGGTGCGCAGGTCCGCCCCGCATGGGCATCTCCCCATGGAGGGTCCCTGCGAGGCCCTGGGGGGAGCTGGGGGCTGGGG